AAATGAAGCAATCAACTACCTTGAAAAATTTCATAAAAAAGAGGCACTGCACGATTTAAAAACTAGCTAGGAGAAGTGAAGACGTGCAGTGCGAGCCCAACAACGGAGTCCACAGAGATACCGAAGAAAGATCAGAATACAGCGGGAACTGTGAGGAAGGAAGGCGCTTCTGGCAACGAAAGTGCCGAAAAGATAAAAAGTGTGGGGCATGGGCGGGAGCATTCCGGACAGGGACAAACCTGCAGAAAGTCGGTGGACAGTGCACACTGGCGGCTGGTACCCATGTAAATGACCACTTGGGCAACCTTCGGTGAAATGGTCTACATGCATCGAACAAGCAAAGGATACTCGCTGGAGGCGTGTAGCCCAAGACCGAATGGCCTGATATACAGGTACGCTTGGCGTGTGGGAACATCCTAGTAACATCACCAGCAGAGGATATTCAAATTAATGACTCGAGATGTCTTGGTGGCATTAAGGAGGAATTAGATGATTGGGATTGTTTCGGTCCATTAAGTCGTAGCATTATTCAGCACCACAACTGTATACCATCAGGGTGAATGGTTATACGGCTGGTAAGAAGTAATGTAAAATAAATTTATACAGGGAAATATGTTAAAACCTAAAAAATGACTAGCGCACCGACTGCCGGTGCGAAGATACGTTTCTTACGTAGATCTCCGCAGATTTTTGTCGCTAACAGCACTGTTTTTTCTGGCAGATGCTTCTAGTTAAAAAAATTGAGAATGGCTGGCAGGACTGCCAAGAAACATCCCACTAAAATTTAGCTTTCTAGCTTTCCTGACTCTCGAGTTAGCAGCTTGCCCGTAAAAAACTTTTCACGGGCAAGTACGTGGATACAACGCGGATAAGAGCGCCCATTTTGGGGTTAGGTGTCCGTACATGCATGTAGATTAATTTCCCAAAGTTTCAGTCCTGCAGCTTTTACAGATCTCGAGATAAAAAACCGATATAGACGAACACACACATACAAACACACAGACAACCCCTCGTCAACATACGTCTTCTGCACTGCACAGATGCAAAAAAAAAAAAAAAAAAAAAAAAAATTGGCCAA